CTCTTCACTCATTTTCCATTCCCTTTCCCTCTTTTTCCCTTAAGGGAAAAGGGAATCCCTGCAGGGAAGAGGGAAAAGGGAAATTTAGTTGCAAGTCTACTGTAAATATCACAAAAGTTTTGTGACAAAACTTTTAACATTCATGAAACAGCAAATATCATTAAATTCGATGCTAAAAAAGTTTATGTTTAGTATTTCATTAATTTGGTTCTTACCAATTATAAAGCCCTTAAATATTGTTTAGTTTATCAAAAACATTGACTTTTATTCCCTGGTTTTCCAACAATTTATTGATATTTTAATTGAGTTAACGTGTGCTGACATTAGAGGTCATATCATTCATAAAATTTTAATTCATTTAAATAAAAATCATTCAAACCCTTTGCTTAAAGTTTAAGCCTTAAACCTTGCATTCAATTACTTTTTTGAAACTGTTTTGAAAATATGTTAATTTTTCATAAAATGCCATAAAAGTGAGATTTTTATTGACAAACATGTATTCACTCTAATATTCATTATAATAATTGAATAAATTCTATAATTAGATACATATTTAAAGAATTAAAGCAAAGAATTGATTACAAGAATATATCAAAAACACAACTGTATTGATAAGACGTGAATGGCATTGACATAGCATTGAGACAAACCTTACCACTAATACTGGTTAGCACTACTCATACCCACAAATCACACAATTGTTTGTTTTACTGAATATTCAATTTTGAATACAATTTACGACAATATTTGCCATTTATTGATAGGACGAGTGGTAACGAGTATTAAGAGCTCCAAAAGTCAGCCAATGATACAACTGTTGATTACTTGCGTTAAATAGTACTCAAAAATTTGTATATTTTGTTGAAATAATTATATTTTTAATGAGTTATTAAAGGGAATTACAATCAAAACCAAATTGTCGTACAAAATATCGATAAATCTGTTGTCAGTAAAATTTAAAACACTTAAACGAAACGCTAATTGTGTTAACTATTGATGATTAACACGTGGAAAGTGTGTATATTTTTGATGACATTTATATATGTGGACAAGAATTAATCCTAAATAATGTGGTATTTAATGGGAGAATAAAAATGTATTCTTAATAAACAAAATACTAATCAATCGGAAGGGCAGAGGAGAAGGGCGTGAGAGGTGTGTGAATGACGAGTAGTGGTAGTCATAAGAGATTTGATTGTTTAGTGAATTTAGTTATTGATGTCTTGATCGTCGTTCGGTGCGTCGAGATCTCGATAATTGATTCTCTTTCTGTAAATTCAGTTCAAACATAAACTTCAATACAATTTCAAAATAAACTATTTTTTAAATTTTTAAAAACATTTTCTTAAGAATCGATTGGAGGAAACACTCATAATATGTGTTGTGATATAAGGTATAAAGTTTTCTAAATGTTATTAATGTTATTGAAAAATAGATGCGAAACCAATGGAAAGGAGAGAAATGGCTAAACCATATCGATCTTGTCATCAATGTCTTCATACGCCACGATATTTCGCGTATCTCTTCTATAATGAGGTGTTTTCAGACAATTGGTTCATAAGAAACTGTTTTTTGTCACAAAATATATATGAATTGTGTGTTGACTAACACTCACCGCGTGAATCGTGGCTTTTGGTGACCCATCGGTCCCCTACCGTATCCGTCGTGCATCGGTCCCATTCCCATCGGTGGGTAACCTCTGCCGTAGCCCATCATCGGTCCACCGAAACCAACCGGAGGCCCTCTCGGCCCATAGCCACCAGCCATATAGGGAGGCGGACCGGGATAGGGTCCGGGGCCGTGAGGCATACCATAACCCGGAGCCATACCGGCAGCCATTGCCATATTAGAGGCGTCGGCGCGATTGGAAGGGTTAACCTGCGGCCGATTGGAGGGATGTTCCGGAAGTTGTGGTCTCTTCGGGTCAAAGATATAGTTATTGAGATAAACGGCGTTCTGTTTGGCCTCATCGATGCGCTCCACGTGTTTATTCAATATGTGTTTTCGCACAAAGTCTGGTCCTTTGAATTTCTTGCCAGACAGAGGACACAGCCATTTGTCTTTCCCTAACTCTTGTGTATTGGCTTTTATGAAAACCTCGGCCTCTTCTTCGGTGTCTTTGAGGCCAAGTTTTGCGGCCTCTTCTTCGGTGACGACAGTCGGCGGCTGAAGGAAGGGCTGTATCTTTGTCTCGAAACTCTTAATGTATTCATTGATATCTGCGTGTGAGGGACGGCTGGAAGTGGAGGCCATACCTCTGGCGTGCATTATTCCGATGCGATTCGGCATTTCGTCTTCGTTGGGATAATCCGAGTGATTGTAGTAATCGATTGAATGAACAATTCGTAAGTATAGCAGCAGTCGATCCAACACTTTAATCAAACTCTCGTCTCTATCGAGTGTTCCGCCGTTCTCTCCGTCGTCGCGTTCGTTCAGTTCTCCGGGATCGCCGCCCAACAGCTCCTCCTCTTCAGCCGACGCCTCTTCGATCAGATAATCGGTTATATTCTTAAGTAAGGGATTCTTTGAGGCAAAACCAAACATAGGCTTAACATCGTTCGCCTCTTTAGTGTCATTATTCTCTTCTTCCCACAGTTTTTTCTGTTTGTCTAAATTGAGTACAATCTTCGCCGCGTGTCTAATGTCCGCGCGAACGACATTCTTATGCGAAGCGATTCCATTGACAGAACGGATTCGTCGACTCAAATCCCGGTTCACTATAACGTTCAGTTCGGTGTCTCTTAGCTGTCAATGAGAATGATATCATCGTTAATACAAATCAAATTATGGATAAACCAAACCGTTTGTAGACTCACTTTCACGCTATTAAAAGACCAACAAATCTCTCGAATATTAACCGATCGGTCGTATGTAACCCAACCTCTCCTGAAAAACCTTCGCTCGGATGTCGGGTCAGCGATACAGAGGCGAAGAAAACCGGGATATCGTCGACACAACTGTTTGAAAAAACATTAAATCATATCAACAACTGATTACAAAGCAAAAGGCAAACAATCAATTGATTACATCTTCGATCTCTTGTTTGGTTATAGTCGGCGCCAGATTTCGCATAAATATGGACAGCGTTTTGTGGAGTGCGCGCGGCTTTTCAGAATCGTCGACTGTTTTTTGTGAATTGGTTTTCACCGGCGACTCTACCTTCTCCTCGCTCTTCACTTTGACGCTCTCGTCTTGAGTGTCGTCATCGATGGTCTCTTTAGTCTCACTGTTGGCATCCATAGAGGCCTCTCCCTCTTCCATACTGGCGATCGAGTCTACGGTCTCTGGTTTGTCGTTTCGCTCGACTTCGTTGGTGTCCTTTTCGACCTCTTCTTTGTTGTCCTCCTCTTCGCCGTCTTTTTGGTCGTTGTTTTCCGTATTTTCATTGTTCTTGTGATTGAGGTCTTCGCTGTCGGACTCTTCTCCGGCCTCGCGTTCACTCTTATCGACCGCAGGTTTCGGAGGCTTTTCCACATCGACTGAAAACAACGACAAATCGGGTTCTATTGCCTTCTCTTCTTCAAAATTCTCGTCCAAAGCCTTCAAATCGAAATCATTTCCGCCCTCGAGTTTGATGACCGCCGCGTCCAATAAGCGTATGATTTGATTGGCTTTCTCCACATCAATGCTCACGGAATCGATCCAATTGTTTGTATACAAATCGGTAAACACTTCGAGCCGAGTCTTGAATGCTTTGGTTTGTTCGGTCTTTCGTTTGTCATACTCTTCGGGATGATATTTAGATCGAAACCTATCAACACATCCAATCCATACCAAAGAGAGAGATAAACAAAAACATAGGCATTAGTTTCGCGTATAAAATAGTTTGAAAATTATTAGTAAAAACCATTGAAATAATCGATGATTTACTGAATGTTTAAAAAATTGTTTAATAATTTTTAGTAAATAATTCAAAATAATGATAAATTTGCCCGAATTTGTGTCTCACCTCAACCAACACATGGCATTAAATTATAGTCGAATAGTTTCATTACTTTTGTGTTAAGTTTAACACTAATATACAAAAAACAGATTCAAAAGAAATTTGGTTACTTTTCTGTGGAATTAATTGCTTTTGTGATACAAAAAACACTTCTTATGCATTCATATAAGAAATTCATTGTTTGTGAAGATTATTAAGATTTAAATTAATTGAATCAAAATATACTTTGCGTTATACTTAAAGCAAAATATGTTTGTTTTGTATACATATATACGAGTAATATATCGATTTGAATCATAAAATTTATATAAAATTGCTTTTAAAAACACTTTTTCGGAGATATATTTTGTGAGAAACTTATGTATAAAAAATGCATAAAACAATCACCGATTTGTTGGTTATATACTGTATAATCGTATTATAAAACATTTAACAAATTAATTCAGATTTTGTTTCGAGAAATTATTTCACAAATATTTCTCAAATCAATAGTTCGTTTCGGTTTTCAATAAGAATATAGCAATCAATTCAATACAGGTATCGCTGTTTTATGCGAATCAATGATAATAATAATAATCAATTTGATTAACATTTAAATTTAACAAAAATAAAAAATTCTGTGTAATTATTATTCCTTTTGGAAGAAAATTGTTTAATAAATTATATGCAAGTAATGTGTCTTTTGATGGGCCGTTCATATCAATGGCCACTTAATGCTTACCATTCCTCGTCCTTATGTGCGTTAAAAAACTCGATAATTTGTTTTCTCTTAAAATCCAACTTATAATCGCTATACTTCTTAACGGCNAAGTAATGTGTCTTTTGATGGGCCGTTCATATCAATGGCCACTTAATGCTTACCATTCCTCGTCCTTATGTGCGTTAAAAAACTCGATAATTTGTTTTCTCTTAAAATCCAACTTATAATCGCTATACTTCTTAACGGCAATCTGATCGTCAATGTCGTCGCCCTGTGTGCCTAAAAACTGCTTGAATGTCATCATTGGTGGCTGAGTGGGACCCGTGTCCGCCTCCCTATCGCAAGCCATCACATCAAATGTAACAAAACATTTATCGCAATCAATATACAAATGTATGTCTAATGAGTTGTGGTTACAAACCTGTGCTGATTCTGGTTCTGAGAGTTGGGACCGCTGTTATCCATTTGAGTCCAGTTATTGTTGTGGTGTCCGTAACCGCCCATCTCGTAGTTCGGATACGGAGACCGATCGTCCCAATCACGACCCCCTCTCTGCCGCTTCATTGGCGGACTCATATCACTCCTATCGGCCGGACTGTACCGATCGCGGCGCTGATTACCGCCACCACCCGGTCCTCCGCCGCCCATCGAGTAGTTGTCGTTCCGATAGTTGTCTCGGCGCTGAGGAATGCGGTCTCTGTTCTGGTTATTCCAAGAGCTGTTCCCTCCGCTCTCACGCCTAAAAATATATACAAAATGTCAATAAAAACAACATAAAAAGCGTTGAAAAGTCGGCCATTCATTCATTACCGGTCAGACCAGTCGTCCCGTCGATTGCCGCCGGAGTTGCGGTCGTTGTAGTCATTCCTCTCGCGGCGAAACTTATCGCGACCTCTGGTCGAGCGGTCAAAGTCGTCGTCGCTGTCGCCCATTGTCTGTCTCCTCACAAGTGGTGATCGGATTGTCGGCTAAAAGGATGTGTCACTAAAAAATCAAACCACAAAATATCAAACAAAAGGCATTCAAAACGCAATGCAATCAAGAGTTGTAAAGCAATTGAATATAAAAAACAAATATTTGATTACAAAAGTCATAAACAAAATGTCAACAAAACATTTGAAAAGACAAAAACAATTGAATCAAAATCAACGCTATATTTGTGCCGACATATTATGGCTCTTATAATGGCGTCAATGAGTGACAAATGCAGACACAATCGGCTCATCATTAATACTAACACTAATACTGACACGAGTTGTACACTATATGTATGACTCCATACACTATACGAGTAATTGTTGTGTCAAATACTCACATAATTAACAAAATGAATGAATTGTATGAATGAATCGTCCGATCGATTGAATGCCCAAAAAATAATTAAATGCAGAAAATCGTAGACAAATATACACTATACGAGTAATTGTTGTGTCAAATACTCACATAATTAACAAAATGAATGAATTGTATGAATGAATCGTCCGATCGATTGAATGCCCAAAAAATAATTAAATGCAGAAAATCGTAGACAAAAAAAATTATTCATTCAATACTTATGGCTGTAGTATTGGAAAGGCGTCAACGTGTGAGTCATTCGTAAATGAAGTGACACTCCTATACGTTCGCTATAAGTGGTGCCCCCTTTCGCGCCCCCC